TCTGTTCCCCTATACCTCTGCTATAGGCCCAAAGCAGTTCCTTTATTAACCAATGATATTTACAGCATACAGAGGGGAATCCCACATTCTTCTCATCTCTGCAGGCACCAGGCATGCACACGATGCACATGCATACATACAGGCAAAATCTTAAGAAGAAAAAAACTTAAAAGTAAATAAACAGGGCTGGAGAGATGGCTCAGTGGTTAAGAGCACTGGCTGTTCTTCCAGAGGTCCTGAGTTCAATTCCCAGCAACCATATGGTGGCTCATAGCCATCTGTAATTCAATGAGGTTGTTTCTTCTGGCCTGCAGACAGAATACTGCATACTTAATAAATAAATTTTTAAGAAAAAATAAACAACTGAAAATAAAAGAACTACTGGACTAGAACCATCCTCAGTCCTCATCCTCACTGTACAGAGACTTCTGAAAAGCACAGGAACCAAAGTTACAGACACATTTTACTGAGCAGACTATATGACTCATGGTAGAGTTATGACCTGAGTTTTCCAGTCCTCTTCTGAAATAACATTCTCTAAAGGGAAGAGCAACACACTGAAGGAGGCATACCATTTCCACGCCTTGCCTTTGCTGGCAGTCCTTAGAGTTCCTGACTCACAAAGCAGAGAAAACATCACAGACAAGGGAAGTATGCTAAGTTTAAAGCCCTCTCCTAACTCTGTAACTACTTGACGCAGTTCTTTCAGTGCTTCTACCACGCACTATAACATAAGGCAGTAAATGTGCCAGCAGATACACAGAAAAGGTTGTGTGAAACTACTCAAACCCAACTGTGCTGGCTGGTTGTGTGTCAACTTGGCACAAGCTAGGGAAGGAGTCTCAGTTAAGGAAATACCGCCAGAAGATCCAGCTGTAAGGCATTTTCTCAATTAGTGATCAATGGGGGAGTGCCATCCCTGGGCTGGTGGTCCTGGGTTCTATAAGAAAGCAAGCTGAGCAAGCCACGTCTAACAAACCAGTAAGCAACGCCCCCCCATGCCCTGTGCATCAGCTCCTATCTTCAGGATCCTGCCCAGTCTGAGGTCCTATCACTGACTTCCTTCAGTGATGAACAGCAATGCTGAAGTATAAGTCAAATAAACTCTTTCCTCCCCAGCTTGTTCTTTGGTCAAGACGTCTTGTTGCAGCAAAAGAAACCCTGACTAAGACATCAAGCAAGAAGAATACTGGGGAAAATGTATATTCTAATTAAAGGGTTTAGGAGGAAATTTTTTTCCAATTCATTCACTATAGATAATATTTGTGCTTTCAGCACAAGATGCTAAACAAAACTATTTTATCTATGGACAGGAAAGTCAGTGTTTATGGATTTATGACAACTAACCAGCATTTAGGATTCAGAAACTAGGCAGCCAAAAGGGCTCAGCACGTAAAGCTGATTCTTCAAAAGTCTGCTGACCTGAGTTCCATCACAGGAACCCAGAAGAAGAGAACTGAATGTACAAAGTTGTCCTCTGACGTCCACACAGAGGCCATGGCAAAAACACCCATACACATCCATCATGCACACACATGCAATAATAATAATAATCATTTTTAATTAAAAAAAAAGATTCAGGTAGTCGGGAGGTGGTACACACCTTTAATCACAGCACTTGGGAGGCAGAGGCAGGCAGATCTCTGAGTTTGAGACCAGCCTGGACTACAAAGCAAGTCCAGGACAGCCTGGGCTGTTACAAAAAATAAAATAAAATAAAATAAAAATAAAAAACCAACAACAAAAAAATCTTTCTCAAAAAAACCCCAGCTAAGAATGTTTTATGTGCATATATGTGTGCCTTCCCAAGTTTATGGGCAGAACATCCATGCAGGAACCTAGGGAGACAAGAAGGTGGTGATTGATCAAAGCCCTGAAGGAAAATGTACAAACAGTTGTGAAGAATACAGACTGGATGTGGTGCTGGGAACCAAATGTGTCCTCTGCAAAAGTGGTAATTCCTCTTAGCTACTGAGCCATCATCTCTGTAGCCCCAGGGGAAAAAACAACTTTCTTAACAGGATTAATTCAATAGTGATTATACTTGCTTCTTTCCCAAACACAGGAAATTTAACCTGAAGGTTTTAATTAGTATCAAAATATAGTTAAATAATGTTTCTTGTTTTGTTTTAGTCTGGCTTGGTCTTTTTGTTGTTTTCCTCTGCCTTTTATTTTTGATTTTGGTTTTTTGAGAGACAGAGTTTCTCTGTGTAGCCCTGGCTGGCCTGGAACTTGATCTGTAGACCAGGCTGGCCTCAAACTCTTTAACCCAAGCATATGCAGGCTTTAAGTCTCTAGATAATATAAAACCACAATTCTAAAACAACTGGTATTTGTTTTAAATTAATTATCCTCCCTAAGCATTAAATATGCTCCTAGAGTTTTTAAAACAGCCAGGAAAACTTTTAAAATTCAAAGCCTTATTTATTTCTTTGATTTTTATCTGTTTGTTTGGTGAGTTGGTGGGTTGGTTGGTTGGTTTTTCAAGACAGGGTTTCTCTGTAGCTTTGGAGCCTGTCCTGGAAATAGCTCTTGTAGACCAGGCTGGCCTCAAATTCACAGAGATCCGCCTGCCTCTGCCTCCCTAGTGCTGGGATTAAACGCCACCACCACCAAGTTAAAATTCAAATTTTAAACTGCAGTTGTGTTACCACTTCTGAACATGAATACACGAGACCACAAAGAACTTTTAACAATGTTGCAATGGGACATGTCTGAAATCACATGAGGTAGAAGCAGAAAGTTTAAGGTCGGTTCAAAACCTCGTGCCATTGTCCTTGGGTTCTCATCATCCCTCATTGTTCGCCATGTTCAGAGAGTCCAGTTTTATCCCATGCTTTTTCAGTAACAGTCCAGCTGGCCTTGGGGTGGGAGCCTAGCCAGTTTGGATGTTCACCTTCCTAGAAATGGATGGAGGGGGGAGGACCTAGGACTTACCACAGGGCAGGGAACCCTGACTGCTCTTTGGACTGGAGAGGGAGGGGGAGAGGAGTGGGGGGGAAGAAGGGTGGGAGGAGGGGGAGGGAAATGGGAGGCTGGGAGGAGGAGGAAACTTGTTTTTTTTTTTCTCCTTTTCTCAATAAAAAAAAAGTTAAAAAAAAAAAGTTTAAGGTCGGCTGCCAGGCGGTAGCGGCACATGCCTTGAATACCAGCAAGGAGGCAGAAGCAGGCAGATCTCTGTGAGTTTGAGGCTACCCTGGTCTACAAAGCAAGTTCCAGGTCAGCCAGAGTTGTTACACAGAGAAACTGTCTCAAAAAAAAAAAAGTTTAAGGTCAGCCTCAACTGGTTACATGAGGTACTGTCTCAAAATAAACGACAAAAGATTAACAGACATGCTGATTATTACGGCTAAATTCTTTTTTATTATTTCATTTACTTATTTAATGTGTGTTCACATGTACAGTGCATATATGGAGGTCAGAGAACAACATGTAGAATCAGTTCTCTCCTTGTACAAGCAGAATGGGTCCCAGGCAGGGCTGAACATCATATTTCTGTCATATGACTCTCTATTATTTGTTTGATTGATTGAGACAAAACCTCCAACTCGAAATTCTCCTGCCTCAACCTCCAGAGTGTTAAATCATAGGTATGTACCATCAGAACCAGCTTCATTATTTTGTTTGAATTAGTAATTATAATTTTTATTTAGAAAACCATGTTTTATTATTTTTATTTTTGGGGGGGTGGAAGTTTGAGGAAAGGTCTTGTGTAACCCAGACTGACCTTCAAATTCAATTCACTATGTAGCCAAGCATGATGCTGACTCCTCAGTCTGCCTCCAACTCTCAAGGGCTAGGTTTACAGGCACGGATTATGCCAACTCAAAAAAACCAACAATTTTTAAAACCCCATTTTGAACAGCACTAGGAACTAGGATTAAGCTCACAAAAAAACACAAAAGTGCAAGGACCTGAGTTCAATCCCTAGTGTCACAAAACAAAATAGACCTTAATAACTAAGCACTAAAATTAACTCTGCCACACAATTAAACCTACCTGGTTTTCTTATTGTTCTAACCACTGCAAATAAAACGTTCTTTCACTCATGTTAAAGCCGTACAAAAATTGACTTTCCGCTTTGTAAGGAGGCTAAATACCTGGCACTGATAACAAGTCCAGAGTTTTGAAGTCTACTTCTCCAAAGCAAAACTTCAAACCATGTCGTTTTTAGTCCGTTAGTTTTCCTTCACCTTTCACAAAACATCCCACTTCATGTTCAAATTTGAAGACAAGAGATTTGCTAAAAGAATCTGCAAACAAAACTATTGACTCTTGCCACACACATCCCCCCCCCCCCTTAGGTTTCGCAATTGAAACTTGCAATCATTTCAGGAGTGTACCCATCAAACAAGAATAGTGCCAGGCAAAGTGACAGGCGAAATCGCATCCCTATAGTTTTGGTGAGACTATCTGGCTTTCATTGAGTACTTTTACTACCTCGTTTTACGTCTTCGGAAAAGCCAAAGGAAAACCCAAACTTAACTCAAAAAACTTGCAAAACAAAACAACCAATTTAGGCCAGTTCTAACGTGGAGATTAGCGCGGGTGGAAAACCAACTTTACTAATGCTTGTCATGGCCTCAAGGTCGTTCCGAGGGGGGGGGGGGGGAACGTTTCAACTCCAAGGCCACACTGCAGCAGTCCAAAACTTTAAGACTGAACAATAAAGCATCCACCGTGGCGCCGATCCCCGCCCGTTAAGACTGACAGGCTCCGGGCTCGGGCTTCCCGGCAACGGAGAACGCCGCCGCCCGGCACGCCCTGCCGTGCACAGGGCGGAGCTCGACGGGCCAGAGCACCGGGGTGCCCCGCATGAGGCCACCGCCCGCTCCAGGAGCCCCGCGCCCCGAACTCGGAGCGGAGGCACCCCGCGGAGCAGCCCCCGTCGCCGCACGAGGAAAGACGGCGGCAGGGACGGGTTGTCACCTCGGAGCCGGAGCACTGGGAGGCGGCGTGGGTGATCACGGAGCGGGTCCAGGGAAAAGTGGACGCCTCACCTGCTCCTCTCGACGACGCCGCTGCCGTTCGCTGAGGGGACAACATGGAGCCTCCGCCTTCAGCAGAAGTAGCAAAGGCGCAAGGGACGGGAGCGGACGGAGGAGGCCCTGGGGGAGAGAAACAGGCGGGGCCTGGACTCCGGGAGCGACGAGAGGGAGGAGCGAGAGCCTACAGCTGGGGCAGAAAAGCCCGACGGACGGCGCAGGGCGTGGCGAGGGCGGGAAAGCGCACGCGGCCGAGTCCCGCCACAGTTCGGTGCGCATGCGTCCGTGCGCGGATCACGACGCGGGTACCTGTGATAGCGTACTGGAATCTGGGGTCCATCGGGAATTGTAGTCCGGAGTTCTCTGGGCCCGGCCCCGCTGTCCCGAGTCTTCGCCCTCATATGGGGCGACGAGGAAACGGGGCAGGGGGCGGGGCCGAGCGGGTCGTCTTACCGCTGAACTACAACTCCCAGCAGGCCTTGTAAATGGAGGGGCATGAGCAGGGCTCTCAGGAGACCCTACCGCTAAGGCGGAAACCAGGGCCGGGCTTCGGCTCCCGGTTCCCGCCGGGAGCCCTCACCCCGGCCAGTGTGATGGGGTTTGGTGTTCCTCGCTGTCCAGGACTACTGGTGGTGTAAGAAGGCCACAACCTGGGATGACGTGAGTCTTTGATGATTTTGACTTCACAAGGACAGACCATCGTGACTTCATTACTATCAGTATCATCATCACCCCCAGTTCCTGTCCTCGACAAGTCTTTAGTGAATCATCAGCAATACTGAAATAAGACTTACTAAATTAGTCTCCGTGTGGCACACTGGTAATCTCAGATCTCAGGAGATCAGGGGAGGTGGATGAAGTACCTGCCAGGACTACGGAATGAATTTTTTTCAAAAAAAAAAAAAATTAGCTAGAAAGTCTGCTAGAGTTTCTCAGTTCTAAGCCATGACCCACCTTTTATGAACTTTAGGCTTATAGGACCTTGTTTCAAAGTTGCTTTGTAAAACGATCTTGTTGGAAAATGCTTAATGCTTTAATTCATGCTTGACTTGTGATTGTGAAAATACAATTTGCCTATGCCCGGCAGTGGTGGCCTGTAATCCTAGCACTCGGGAGGTAGCGGAGCTGGATCTCTGTGAGTTCAAGATCAGTCTGGTCTACAAAGCAAGTTTCTGGACAGCCAGAGCTGTTACACAAAGAACCCATCTCAGAAAGAAAGGAAGGAAGGAAGGAAAATACAATCTGCTGCAATTGAAGAATACTGTTTTCTGAGTTCTAACAAATCCTAACAGATGGAGGTAGATGTCCATCTTCTCCCCAGCCACCACCACCTGTCCTCACCATTGTCTTTTGTTCAGCAAATATTTCTACTTTCTTCCTTCTGCCTACCCAGAACTTCTCTCCAACTACCTCTAGATAGTTGGCTATTTTCGCTTCCTATATAATTAAGCCAGAGGTGATGAAGTCTGCCTTAGCCTACCTAAAGAAGTCCCGTTTACAGTTCTTTACCCTGTACTTTTTGATCCCCCACCCACCCCAACTCTCAAGACTGGGATGTTCCCTTCCAGCTTTTAGATTTAAACCCAGATTAGGCCTTCTAGGCTGCTGTGTAGTTGTTTCTTCTAAGACAGACATGACCATTGCTGTCCTGAATCAGCAGCTGTGATCACCCACAGGAGACTCATGGGACCAGGCCTATTATTATTATTATTATTATTATTTTTGATTTTCGAGACAGGGTTTCTCCGTAGCTTTTGGTTCCTGTCCTGGAACTAACTCTTGTAGACCAGGCTGGCCTCGAACTCATAGAGATCCGCCTGCCTCTGCCTCCCAAGTGCTGGGATTAAAGGCGTGTGCCACCACCGCCCGGCGGGACCAGGCCTATTAATATTCCCTCATGACGGGGAGGTACATATTCAGGAGCCTTCATGAGCTCCTCAGAGACCCCATTGCTCCCCAGGCTGTACAGGAGATGGAAAGTTGACCAGAAAGAGGGACTCTTCCTTTACTGTAGCTGCCCATAAGTGGCCCAAGGAGCTCCTCAATGGTGCAGGTCTTAGTGAGTCATCCATGCTACAGATGAGACTCTTAATTTATATAGTTGCCCATAAATTGCCCAAGAGACTTCCTGGTGATGTAACTGCCTTTGAGTCAGTCACCCATGCACCTATAAGTAGCCCCAATAAACTCAATGGTTCACCAAGCTGAACTTGGATGGAATTCTTTCCTTGGTCTGTCAGCGCCCCTCCCCTCAGGATGAATAGGCCTTTCTTTCCATCTCCCAAGAAAAAAGTCACACAGCATAGGCCAACCTGGGCCAGCAAGAAAGTAGAAGCAAGCTTGCATCAGGGGAAGAGATTAGTTCAGAAGACAGGACCTACAGGACATGACACAAATCCATTATGTTACATGTCAGATAGAAGAGCCAGAGGTCAATAACTGGGTCAAAATTGCAAGCATTATTGTGAAAGAATATAAAATTATCCACACATGCTATCATTCTCCATTTACCTTTCCTAAGCTGTCTTCTTTTAATGATCGTGTATGTGTGTAATTGTAGGCACACATGTGCTACAGTGCACATGTAAGTCAGATGACAACTTTTCAGAAGTTGATTCTCTCCTACATTAAGATTTGTTTGTAATTATTATATGCCTGTATGTGCACATGAGTGTGAGGGCCCATAGAGGCCAGAGGTATTGGGTACCTGATGTGGGATTCCCCTCTGTATGCTGTGAATACCATTCATGAATAAAGAAACTGCCTTGGCCTGTTGATAGGACGGAACTTAGGTAGGCAGAGAAGACAGAACTGAATGCTGGGAGAAAGGAGGCAGAGTCAGAGAGAAGCCATGTAGCCCTGCTAGAGATAGACACGGGAGCTTTTCTTGGTAAGCCACAGCCTTATGGTGATACACAGATTAATAGAAATGGGTTAAATTAATATGTAAGAGCCAATAAGAAGCTAGAGCTAATGGGCCAAGCAGTGATTTAATTAATACAGTTTCTGTGTGATTATTTTCGGGGCTGGGCAGCTGGGAACCAACAAGCGGCCTCTTCCAACAGGTACCCTGGAGTTGGAGTTGTAGGTGTTTGTAAGCCACCTGACATGGGTGCTGGGAACCAAACTTGGGTCCTCTGCAAGAACAGCATGCTCTCTAACTGCTGAGCTGTCTTTCCAGCCTCCACCTTATTTCTGAGGGTCTCTCCTTTCTGGAGCTCACTGCCTCTGAAAGCTTCCAGAAGACTGCCCTAGCTTAACTCTCCTCTTGCTGTAGGAATGCTGAGAAAGCCACTATAGCTTTTTTTAATGTGGGTTTGGGGATCAAAGCTGAGTTGCCCAGCAGACAGAGTAAGTGCTTTTAACTACCAAGCCATCTTGCTAACTCCTATACTACATTTCTACCAGTGCCTTCTTCGTGGTTTACTTTTTGTTCCCCTTGGGTTTTTTTTTAAAGATTTATTTATTTATTATCCATACAGTATTCTCTCTGCATGTACACCTGCAGGCCAGAAAAGGGCACCAGATCTCATTACAGATGATTGTGAGCCACCATGTGGTTGCTGGGAATTGAACTCAGGACCTTTGGAAAAGCAGGCAGTGCTCATAACCACTGAGCCATCTCTCCAGCCCTTCCCCTTGGTTTTTTTGGAACAGGGTTTCTCTGTGTAGCCCTGGCTGTCCTGGGAAAACCACTATCAGACATGCTTTCCCTTGGTAGAAGTTGGTTTCTAAGATGTGACTTAGAATCCTGAAATCTGTCTACAATTTATACCATGTTTCAAAAGTCAAAACCTTCCAAATATGAGGAAAGCTGATGTACTCATGTTGGCCTCAGTGAAGTCACATTTGGGCAGAGCTGACACTGCACTTATTGCTCACTTCCCAACAGGATGGATTTCAGTGCATTTTTATTGGCAGCTGTTAAAATCAAACAGAGTGTTGTGTTCCATAGCAGAATTAGGTATGTAATATTAAAAGAAGAAGAAAGTTTATGAGCAGGTGGTATAACATACCTTCTTTATTCATTCATTAATACAATCTTTTCTGTTTCTACTTACTACCTGTTTTAAGTACTAATGTTGTAGCTATTTTGTTCAAAACAAACAAAATTCTCCTTTTGGAATTTACATTAAAGACAAAACATTGAAACAAACATCGCTGGGCCTAGTGGTATAGGCCTTTAATCCAAGCACTTGGGAAGCAGAGGCAGGTGGATATATGTGAACTCAAGGCCAGTCTTGTCTACATATCAAGTTCCAGGACAGCCAGAACTACGGGGGGGGGGGGGGGGGCAGCTCAAGTTCAAAATACCAAATATTGAATCTCATTGCAGCCTGCCTTTAGAAGTGAATCACCTACTATGACTGGAGGTTGACCTTTCCTTGTGGTTTTCTAGAAGGTGACAGGTGATATATAGACATTTTTGAGTGCTTAAGCTTTTGAGTGGTTAAAGCCATTGGGTCTGGGGCCAGACTGACTGGCATTAAAATTTAACACTAATACTCACTAGCTGTGCAAACTCGGGTGAATCAACCTCTCTGAATCTGTTTCATCAGCTACAAGCTAATTCTAATACCCACAGAGTTTTAGATTAAACGAGATGTGTTTGTCCCTGATGACTGCTATATGGTTAGTCCAGAACTGGTGATTATATTTGTGCTGGAAAAGCCAAACAAAGTCATAAATACTTAAGGCATTTATGTTATTAAGCATACAAATAGCAAAATTGTTATCCAAAATAACATCCACTATGACTCAAGATTCCAAAGCTTTCCCAAAATAGTACATTTGTTATGTTTTAGGCACAGTGAGAGGCAGTAATGCTGTATAAGACACATTCCTGTCTTCCACAGACTCGCAGCCTTGTGGGTAAACAGCTAAGCATCATTTCCTACTGATGGTACAGTGACGCCATTTGGCCTCTTATCACCCACTTACAGGACCAATGGCTAAGCAACTCCAAAAGGATAGAATAATGCCTGCCTGGAAATTATTTAAAATCCCCACCTGGGTTTGGGGTGGAACTCTGTGGGAAAACACTTGCCTAGCATGCTCAAAGCCCTAGTTTGTATTCCATCAACACAAAAATAAAATGCCTATCTGGGTTCAAGAGATAGCTTAGTGGTAGAGCACATGTTTAACATGTAGCAGGCCCTGGGTTTGATTCCCAACATCACAAAATAAGATATT